AGGGAGGGAGGGAGGGAGGGAGGGAGGGAGGGAGGGAGGGATCCCACCCACCCTAGACTACCTGCCCACTTACCATCATGACATATGTGCTCATGAACTCTGCCAGGAACTCTCGCACCAACTCCTTCCGCAATACTGCTTTTATCCTTGCTAGTATAGGCCCAGAGTTCATCATGGAGCTGTGGGTGGGTGTGAAGCAGCCGCAGTCCAAGCCCATGACAGAAAGAAGACTCAAGTCAGCCTCCTGCTCATGGGTTCTTCAGCTCATAGTTGAGTTAATGAGTAACCCTGAAGCCTTTCTACCTATGCCTTCTCCAGCCCAGGACAGTCAGGACAGCTGGGACTGGAGGCATCCAGCACCACAGGGACATGGAGGGGAACTGGGGAAGATGACTCATCCAGGCTCTTTCTTCTAGCCAGGCCTGAACAAGTGGCACAGTTGAATATGTCATTGGCAGCCAGGTGCCAGAGGCTCACTCACACCTGTAAATCCTAGCTACTAAGGAGGCTGAGATCTGAGGATCAAGCTGCAAAGACAGCCTGGGCAGGAAAGTCTATGAAACTCTTAGCTCCAGTTAACCACCAGAAAGTCGGAAGTGGAGCTGTGGCTCAAGTAGTAGAGTATCAGCCTTGAGCAAAAAAAGTGAAGAGACAGTTCCCAGACCTTGAGTTCAGACCCCAGTACTGGCACACACACATGCATACACACACACACACACACACACACACACACACACACTATAGGGAATGATGAGTTGCTGGAGAAAGTCGGCTGAAGAGTTGTCTATCTGCAGGAGACAGAGATTGGGGTCACAGGTCAGGGCCGGCACTAGTAAATCAACCTAATAACTGCATAAATTAAAGACTGATTGTGGACTCTAAGCAGCACTGAGTCCTGAAAATATATATATATATACATACATACATACATGCATACATGCATACATACATGCACACATGTATCAGCTTCTGAAGATGAGGGAGTCAGCAAAACACACCAGCTCTGCACCATGTGGGCATAAAAGGACAATTTTGAGTAACTGAATGCAGGAGTGAATAAGTGAGTGAGAAAGGGAAGAAAGGACCTTTCTTCATGGTTTATCCTCAGTGCTTAATACAGGGAAGATGTGCAATAAATATTGGTTGGATAAGAACTGGAGAATCCGTTTCTTACAATCAACTACGTCCCAAAGCTTCCCATAGTACCCAACACTTAACAAGTATTTGTTTAATGAATGCTTAGTTGGATAGACAGATGAAAAGATGAGTTTCAGGCCCCAACATCTGTGTGGAAGGAAGTCTGAGACTGAAGTTTGGGGAAGGTTCTCGGATCTGGGATCTGGAGGATTAAGAGGAAGAAGAGGGTTGGGTGCTGGTGTCTCACTCCTGTAATTCTACTTGCTCAAGAGGCTGAGACGGGCACTGGTGGCTCACACCTGTAATCCTAGCTACTCAGGAGGCTGAGATCTGAGGATCATTGTTCAAAGTCAGCCCAGGCAGGAAAGTCCGAGAGACTCTTATCTCCAATAAACCACTAGAAAACCGGAAGTGGCGCTGTGGCTCAAACGGTAGAGCACTCTCCTTGAGCTGAAAAGCTGAGGGACAGCGCCCAAGCCCAGAGTTCAAGCCCCACGACCAACAAAAAAAGGGGGGGGGCTGATATCTGAGGATTGATGTTTGAAGCCAGCCCAGGCAGAAAAGTCCCTGAGACTCTTTTTTTTTTTTTTTTTTATTTTGGCCAGTCCTGGGGCTTGAATTCAGGACTTGAGTACTATTCCTGAGTTTCTTTTTGCTTAAGGTTAACACTTCTACCTCTTGAGCCACAGCACCTCTTCTGGCCTTTTCTGTTTATGTGGTGCTGAGGAATTGAACTTCATGCATGCTAGGCAAGTACTCTACCACTAAGCCACATTCCTAGACCCCTGAGTCTCTTATCTAACTAACCCAAGAAGCCAGAAGTGGAGCTGGGGATCAAATGATAGAGCACCAGCATTGAGCAAAATAGCCAAGCAAGAGCATGAGACCCTGTGTTCAAACACCAGCAACACCACCCAAAAAAAAAAAAGAAGAAGAAAACAAATGGTAGCTCAATCAGATAGAAACAATGACAGGAAATTTACATGTTCTAGATATTTTAGGATATTGGCCACTCGGTAGGTGTGAGGTTAAGGAAAGAAAAACATCAAGGATGTGGTCTTGACTTCTGGCTTGAACTTGGAGGAGGAGACCCCTGACCAAGCAGAGACCATAGGAAGAGGAGTAGGTTTGGGGGAAGTGTAGAAATCTGTTTTCAACTGAAATCTGGGCTACCGGTGGGTCTCTGGAAGCCCAGGTGGGAGATGTGGGCTAGAGACAGAAATGTCAGCCATACACAGTGGAATCTACTTGTTCTCCACACCCACAAGGGCACAAACAGATACTCTAGCTCACGTGGTACTGGCAGCACTTGCATAAGCAAGGACAGTCACTTGTTAGAAGATAATTAAGTCCTATGGGAAAATATAAGGCAGAGAAAAGGAACTGAGGGCATGGAGTTTGATTTCAAGTGGGGCGGTCATAAGCCTTGCAGGGATGGTAGCTTTTGAACAAACATGGAGGAGATAAAAGGAATAATGCAGAAGAGCACTTCAAGCAAAAAGAAGTCGATGCAGAACTCCACATGTGTACAGAAAGTAAAGGAAGTTGTTGTGATTGGAGCAGGGAGAGCGAGGCTTAGGATGAGGTCCAGAGAAGTAAAAGGGAGCAGATAGGGAGAGTCTTGGCCAGTACAAGGACTTTGGCTCATGCTTTTGCCCCAAAGAGAGTTATGCCTGAGAAGCTGAGGGGTGATGAGTTCAGTTCAGCTGAGTACCACCTATAGAGGGACAATCAAAATCCAATGGCCAGGGGCTGGGAAGGTGGCTCAGTGGTAGAGCGCTTGACTTACATTCCTGAGACCCTGGGTTCGATTCCTCAGCACCACATAAGCAAAAAGAAAAAAGCCAGAAGTGGCGTTGTGGCTCAAGTGGTAGGGCACTAGCCTTGAGCTGAAGAGCTGAGGGACAGCGCCCAGGCCCAGAGTTCAGGCCCCATGAACAGAACCAAAAAAAAAAAAAAAATCCATTGGCCAACCCCAGATCCCCATCCAGGTCTTTCAAAGTCCCTCTTACCCCGGGCCGAGTTTCAGCTGCATTATGGGGCATGAGAGACAGGTAGGAGGGATCCTTCCTCTGGGGCCCAGTAAGCTACTAAGTGGATGAAAAGGAGGGGGTTTAGGAGAACAGTTTCTGCCAGAGAGAGACTGAGTCAGGGATAAGGTAGGCTGGGCCAAGAGTGGGCAGGGGAAGGAATAGAAGTTGGGTTGCTTACCGTCTCTGCCTGTCCATCCAAGCCATATTTGGTCTTTCAGGTTTCTAAATGCTGTGGAATCACAGAGAGGTGAAATAGGAATGGGGGATACAGAACTTGACCCATATGTCAGCTCCCCCACTCCCTCCCGCCCCGTTTGCATGGGAGAAGACACTAGACACACAGTTCTGCTAGCTGGAAAGGGAGAAATGGGGTGGGTTAGGTGTGTCTCAGCCAATGAGGACAGGTCCTGGAGTCCCACCCTCTATTCCCATATTGGCCTCTGGAAGCCAGACCCCTGGGCCAGGTCCTTCAGAGGTCCTGTTCGCCTTTCCCAAGTCTTTCCAAGCACAAAACCCAATCACCAAAATCTGTCTCTAGTCTGACCCATCTCTGACCTACTTTTTTTTTTTTTGCCTTGGACCAGTGGAGTTGGTCCTTGGCTCCTTCTTCCTCCCATCCCCAGTCCCTGCTGACAACCTGGCCCAATACATCCTCCCAGCCTCTGCTGCCCCCAGCTTCTCTGGTCCTGCCAGCTGCCACCTTACAGGTAAAGAAACAAAGGCTAGCATAGAAAGCCAAGCCTTCCACTCCCAGCTGGGGCTTCTTTCCCAAATAACTCCACCATCACCTCCAACCCATACAGTAGTCTCCAGGTTTGGAAGTTCCTAAAGTGCCCACCCTGCCCCAAGCAGCTTGGAGCCCCACTCACGCTGCTGACACACCTCAGCCTCTGCCTTAGGAGTTCCTTGATTAAAGCAAGCTTGATCTCATTCCTCCATGTGTGGCCCAGGCTCCACACTGCACCCACAGCTGAGCCTCTGCTATCTTGGTGACCTCAGCCTGGAGCCTGCCTCTCAGCCCTCCCCAGCATGAGTCCAAGGCTATGTCCACTCCTCCAGGGGAGAGGTCAGTAGGGAAGAGGTTTGGCCTGTGCTACTTGAGCCACATCCAGACACACGGCCCAAAATAGAATCTCTCCTCCGGCCAGTAGCGTCGTAGTGACTGAATTCTAAAGCAGCCCTAGTGAGGCCAGAGATGAGGTCCAGGTGGGCTCTCTGAGCTTCAGTCCCAGAGGAAAGCCACATTTTGGGCCCTACTTTGGAGCCAGAGCCTGAGGTAGCAGAGGCTACCCATGGGGAAAGCCAAGAAGAATAGAAACTATGAGTGGAAATTTCTGGAAATCACAAGCAAACAGAAGGATATAGAAGACCTCAGGGAGCCTTCATTCTCATCTGAGATAAGGGACTGCGCCCCTGGTCCCCCCAGCCTGTTCCTATGGGGCCCCTACCTGAGGTCAGAAAGAAGAAACATGGGTCTAGCTCTCAGGAAAATGCCTCCCTTGAGAAAGGCAAGCCTCCATTAAGGAACCAAAGCTGGCCCCATGTGGGGTTCAGGCTGAAGGCTGGGGAGCTAAATAAATGAGGTGGGGCCAAGAGGGAAACCGAGAACCATGGGAAGTCCAAGTCCTTCAGATTCAGGGCCTGGCTGGGTCTGAAAGGACAAGGCAGAGATTGGGGACTTGAGCAGGTGACATCGTGCTGACACGAGAGGGAGTCATTGCCAATCTTTCAATGCTGCAGACATCTGCGAGTGGAGTGCTGGGCGATGAACAGTAAGTCTGAAGAGTTCACGAAGCCAACAGTGTACATGGTAGAGGATTTGGTTACTCAAAGCACAGGTGTGAGAATGAAATATTCCTCTAGAGGGTGCCAAAGACCAGGCCAGGTCTGGAATCTGCATGGCTGCAGTTTCCATTCTGAACACACCCAGTTGTTTGCCCAGGAGCTTACTACAGGGAGTAGCAGCAGTAGGCTAGGGTGCAAAGGCTTCCTAGTCAGGAACCAACTCTTGCTGCAACTCCAGAGGCCTTGCTCCTCTATGCATATCCTCAGTGGATTCAGGATGGTGGGTGTGCTTCTTCAGGGAGAGGTAAATCCATGGAAGAGGAGGACTTGCCCTTATACTGTCCTTCATGTGCTGTCTATGCTTTCAGGGTCATGGGTGAAGTAAGGTCAAAGAGAACTGGAAAAAAAATTTAAAAATTGTTTTTAAAAGAGATGGAAGAAATGGACACTGGTGGTTCACACCTGTAGTTCTAGCTACTCAGGAGGCTGAGATCTGAGGATCTCTGTTTGAAGCCAGTCTAGGCAGGAAAGTCCATGAGACTCTTATCTCTAATAAACTATTCAGAAAAAGCCAGAAGTGGAACTGTCAGCGCCACTTCTGTGGCACTATGGTAGAGCGATACCCTTGAGCACAAAACGGTTCAGAGACAGTGCACAGGTGAGTTCAAGCCCCAGGATGAGCAGAGCAGGTGAGGGGTAGAAGTGTGGCTGAAAGAAATGCTGAGTTCAAACACCAGTACTGCCAAAAAAAAGAGCACTGGGGGGAAAGGACTGTAATATCAGATATTTGGGAGATAGAGATAGGAGGAATGAGGTTGGAGGTCAGCCCAGGCCAGAGAAAGAAAGAAAAAGAAGAAAGAAAAGAAAAAGAAAGAGAGAAAGAAAGAAAGAAGAGAAAATTTGCATGAGGTTGTGAAAGTCTAACCTCCTTTTCTGGGAATGGAGAGACAGAGAGCTAGAGAAGTGGTTTATTTTATTTTTGTCTGATTCTGACATTATCTTTTTTTTTTTTTTTTGCCAGTTCTGGAGCTTGAACTCAGGGCTTGGGCACTGTCCCTGAGCTTCTTTTTTTTGGGGGGGGGTGTCTAGTCATGGGGCCTGAACTCTGGGCCTGGGCGCTGTCCCTCAGATCTTCAGCTCAAGGCTAGCGCTCTACCCCTTGAGCCACAGCGCCACTTCTGGATTTTTTTTTCGTTTTGCTTATGTGGTGCTGGGGAATCAAACCCAGGGCCTCATGCATGCAAGGCAAGCACTCTACCACTGAGCCACCTTCCCAGACCCCTGAGCTTCTTTTGCTCAAGATTAGCACTCTACCACTTGAGTCACAGTGCCATTTCCAGCTTTTTTCTGTGTATGTGGTACTGAAGAATGGGACCCAGGGCTTCATGCATGCTAGGCAAGCACTCTACCACTAAGCCATATTCCCAGCCCCTCTGACTTCATCTTGAGGGCCAAGTAGCTTCCAAAATATTCTAAGCAAGGAGTAGCATAAAGTCTCTTATTCAGTGTGCCCAAGGCTTTGGGCATCTAGTAGTCAAGGGTGGATTTGTGGCCTGGGTACTGGAGGAACGCTCAGCTGGAGAAGGAACAGGAGCCATTAGCTCCACCATCTGCAGTACCTGAAATTCATGTTGAATTGGATATATACTAGAGAGATAGATAGATAGGTAGACAGACAGACGGACGGACAGACAGACAGACAGACAGACAGACAGACAGACAGACAGACAGACAGACAGATAGATAGATAGATAGATAGATAGATAGATAGATAGATAGATAGATAGATAGATAGATAGATAGATAGAGTGTACACTGAACCAGAACTTGAATTCAGGACCTTGCATTCTCACTCAGCTTGCTTGCTCATGGCTGGTGCTGGTCAGTTTATTGTAGATAAAGTCTCATTAATTGGTTTGGGCTGGCTTTTAACTGTGATCCTCTAGGTCTCAGCCTCCTAGTCAGCAAGGATTACAAGTGTGAGCCACCGGCTTCCCATCTATGATTTTACTTGTGAAGTCTGGCAACCATCTGCGCTGAGTGACACCCGCTGTGAGGGCTGCACCGACCTCCCTGGGCATCACATTCACTGTCCACGCTCAGCTCAGTCCCTGCCTCAGCCTCCATTTCCCCATCTGTGAAGCAGCATTGGAGGATATGAGGTCCTTTTACCCAGATATTTCCGCCATCCAGAGAACCCCCCGCCCCCCGCCACCAACAAAACAGTGTGTGAAGCAGTAGCAGATCGTTAAGTCAGAAACTCATTTGATGGGAATGATAAATTGGTTGCAAATGAATTGGTAGGATTGGTGCCCTACAGGGCCACTTTGTAGACTTGGATGTATCCTTAAGCATTTGGTCCCTTTTTTAGAAACTGTTGTTTTCTATTTTTGTCTTCTGTGCAACTATGTCTTCCACTGAAAGTTTGGAAATCACCCAACGCCCATTGACCTCTCACTTATTACTACACTAAAAATCACAACGAGAGCTGGTGATTGGGGACATTAATATTTACCTACCTGAAAAAATGAATGTTTATAAATGCATTAGCCAAGCTAATTGAGAAGACACAACTGTTTATCACTGAACTGGAAGTGTTTTGTTCTTTGTTGTTTTTTTGAACTCTGGGTCTCAGGCACTGTCTCTGAGCTCTTAAACTCAAAGTAAGCTCTCTACCACTTGAGCCACAGCGCCACCTCCAGTTTTCTGGTGGTTTATTGGAGATAAAAGTCTCATGGACTTTCCTGCCCAGTCTGGCTTTGAACCACGATCCTCAGATCTCAGCCTCCTGAGTAGCTAAGATTGCAGGGGTGAGCCACCAGCACCCAGCTTGGTTTGCTTGGGTTTTTCTTTTTTTAAGAGAATATGTTAAATTTTAAATAGCAGATTCTTTTTTTTTTTTTTTGGTCCAGTCGTGGGGCCTGAACTCTGGGCCTGGGCGCTGTCCCTCAG